GTTCAAGTTCATACCCCAGGAAGCAGTAATTCTGTAGGTTCAATAACCTTTCCTTGTACCCAGTGAAAGGATTTTATAGTTTCCAAGAGAAGACTAGTCACAGCAAGGCAGTGTATCCATTACATAAAGTCTGCAGTTCTCTGCTTGCAAGGCCGAGCAAGCTCCTCAACAACCCTAAGAACCACTTCTTCAAATTGCTCAACACAAGCATGTACTTTCCTCGCCAACTCTAAAACTACACACGCCCACTCCCTGTCTCCACCTAGATTAATGTCATCTCCTATGATAAGTTGATAACCTTGTTCCCATCATCATCAACTTCATGTTCAATAGGTCCATGCAATAATTCCTGCACAAATGAACTAGCAACTTTCCTATTTGTAGCATTAGAGAAATCGAGCATAACACCAAGCATTTAATGGCCATTGAGATGCAAAATGATAATTTGGTCCTGAAACAATTACTTGGGATCAACATATATGTTCAAATTCGCAAGTACTTGGTATATATTGACTACTATGAATTTGTCCTACTTGCAACAAGATGAGCCTTCACCAATTCAACATAGTCAGAAACTGTTGAGGGCAGGATTCTCTCTAGAAGTTCATTCTTATCTGAGGCTTTTGCTGCATATATTACAACCTCAATCCCCATTGTTGAAGCAGCATCAGAGCCTTTTGCCTGTAAAACAAACTATCTAATGATTTTATAAAAAAAAATATATCATAAGAAAAAATACAACTTGTGAAGCAAAAATGTCCAACCTAGATGCATGGCATATGCTCCAATGTCCTGAAACAAATCATTTGTTTAGTCAAATTAGATAAACAAAAACATTTTTCAAATCAAATAAGCTAATTGTAGAAGCCACACATATAGGAGAGGTAGAAACGACTTTAAAATCCAATTCTAAAACATAATAATGCACAACCAAAAACACATTATAAACAAAAACATATAAATAAATAAAACACATAGGAGAGAGAACAACTGCTTCGAGATCCATTTTTAACTTACTTTTTGTAGTTGGAACTTCTAACCAATCTTGCTTACAAACTAGTGCCTCCACAGTCTCTGGAAAAATTATGATACTGATCCACTATTCTACCCCTAGTACTGAATGTTCCCTCAAGTGCAACAGTGGATACTGGAATTGCCAAAATATCACGTGCTAATCTGGAGAGTTTCAAAAACTTGGGACCATTACATCGCCAGAATATCAAAATATCAAACTCTTCACCTCTAGGAAATTGTTTTTCTTCAAGATAAAAATCCAACTCTGACTTTTGAGTCCCTAGACAATATTCCAGATGCTCTTCAGTCAAACACCAATCAAAACCGCTAAAAAAATCTACAACACGATGAATCCTCAATGGCTGAGATGCAATACTAGAGTCTACAAGTGACCTATCTTTTATATCAAAACCCACATACTCTGAATATAGGTCATTTAGTGCCTCTCTAACTCTTGTAACATGCCTTTCAGTAGTCTCTCCATAAATGAGATTGTAGTAATATGTAATAATCTTAATCTTAAACCCAGGGATCAAGGACAATGGCAATTGCAAGTATCAAAGAACATTCATCCCAATATTTATCAAATTTTTGCTTCAATCTATTTTCCATTGAACAAATATACCCATATTCACTATCTAGCCACTAAAGCAACAAAAGTTTGATTGTGCAAATATCGAGAAAAAAATACATTTGAGGTTGGGGAAGTAGTACTTGAGAAATTTTTTGTGCAGATATAAAAAACTTGTAAGAAATCCTGTACCGCTGCCCCCATTTCCCATTCCTCATCAGATGGTAGATTTTTATAGTCACGATTGAGCTTAGCTAGTCGACAAAATGCTTCGTTCAACTCTAAAGCTATGACCAACATGTCATATGTGGAGTTCCATCGTGTTAGACATTTAACAATCACCCATCTCTTATGTTGTAGTTTTGCTTGACTTCTTGCATTGTCAAATTTTTGCTTCTTATGGGGTGTCAGCTTTACATATTTAGCACTTTCTCGAATCTTATGTAATAATGGTGATACTTCTCTCAACCCATCTTGCACAATAAGATTCAAGATGTGAGCAACACATCTTACATGAAATAGGTCACAATGTAATGGAAGCAAACCCTTAACACAGAGCCAATTCTTGAGCTCCCTAACCATAACATCATTGTTAGAGACATTGTAAACTATTATAGAACATATTTTTTATAATTGTCCCAAGTCAACAACCTCTCCATAACTTCATATAGGGTGTTTCCATCATGGGGATACTCAATTGCCACAAATGCAATAATTTTCTTCTTCAGCTCCCATCCATCATTTATAAAGTGTGTCGTTAAACAACAATACCCCAAATTTTGTTCTAAAGTCTATATATCGGTGGTTAAGATAATCCGACAATCCAAACCATCAAAGTGTTTATATAGCCTCTCCTTTTCATCCAAGTAAATCTTCATAACATCATTCTTTATTGTATTTCTAGAAACAAATATAAATGATGATTGAAAATTATTGACAAATATCTGAAAACTCTTCTTCAACTATATTAAAAGGATGTCCATGCTTCATTATCATCTTTGCTAAGTCCATTTGGCTCTTATCTTGGTCAAATTTGAAGTCTTCTACAACTTCTTGTTCACTTGTGTCATTTTGTTTTAATTTAGGACATTTTGATACATGCCCTAAAAGGTGGATTGTTCCTTTAGAACATCCTCCTATATACTGTTTTTTGCAATGTTTACAAATAGCTCTTTGCTCCCCATAATCCAATTTTATTTTCTTAAAATGCTCCCATACTTTGGACCTAACCCTCTTTCTAGTACAACTAAATGCCATAGATAATTCACTTGGATTTTCAGGCACATTTACATTTTCAACACTTGGTTCATCCATCCTTAATGCAATAAGAAAGAAAATAAATTAATTTCCACACTAACATGAAACACAAGAAAGTCTAATGAGATTGTTTACAAACAGGGCTGTCAATGGATTGGATATTGGTCCAATTTGATCTACTCCAATATGAGTCCATTACAAATGGACCATGTCAATTAGGTCTGGACTAGTCCAATTCAACATTGTCTTATTGGATTGTCTAGCCCATCCAAATTGGTTTTGATTCGGATAGGGTCCAACCAAACCCGGTCCATTGACACCTCCATTTACAAGGATACGATTATAAATCCCTTCACTATTTACAACTTGTGCGTTGAATATGCCTCTTCTAGTGTAAACTTAAAAAGAAAATGCAATTGACTACCAAATTTAAGAATAAGAAAAATGGTTCAACTATGATACTGGAAAAAACCTGAAACCAAATCACCAATCAACCAATATCATAAAACTGATATCCAATTAGATGATATTTATCAAAATTCACGGGCGGGTTTGATTGGTCAAAGCCCTTCCAATATCATGTCTTTCCGATAGCATAGATTTTCCCCAAGGAAAAAAAAAACACTTGAGCCATGATGGCTCAAATAATTTTGAAACTGCACAAGAGATTGAATCAGATTTTTAATGATATCTAATATATGAAATAAAATCTGTTCATTTCTTTTTCAATGATATGAACTTGAATCTCTTAGGAGTCAAGAGCATGCTTTACATTTTGTGTTTGAAAAAATATGTATGTTTTAGATGTGTTTTCTTTTTAAATATATCCATTAATAAAGTTTCAGTAAATTATAGGTTTCTTTCTTTTGTAAAATCTGTTAATTTCAAATTTAATATCATTGGAGCTTAAGTACTCATTGGAAAGAAAAGGCTAAAACGTTTTTTCCCGCTAATATATAATGAGAGAATAGATGTTTTGTGGACCAAAAACTGTTGTTGGCTAGGTTATTTTCCTATCTTTAAGTAATTATGTTAAAACAATGATGAAAACAAGAAATCAAGTAAAGCTTAATCTGTTCTATGCTAGGATCTAATGACAGAGGATAAATGAAATACCTGAATGAACAAATCACAGAGGTCAGAGGAGAGGACGAGAGAAAATAAATAGTGATAAATTGCCGGAGAGAGGGAAATACCATCAGAGTTCATTCGAAGCTGACGAGAGAAAATAAATAGTGATAGATCGCCGGAGAGGGAAATACCATCAGAGTTCATTCGAAGCTTCAAACGAAATACCGCAGGCAAGACTTTGAGGGCTGAGTGATGGAGGCACTGAACCCTAGCCTTCGAAAGTTTGAGGACTGAGTGAATGGACCAACGGGTTTGTTCTAACTGATTGGCTTTCTCCACTATCGGTCCATTCTATGAATGGATGATTCATGTTCAGACCGGTCCGAGTCCATATCAATTTTAGGACCGTCCAAATCCATCCATAACATTTCCAATTTGGATGGAGTCCAAACCGAAACCAGTCCATTGACACCCCTGCAAAGAAATATTCCCAATGCAAGGTTGCAAGGGACTGCGAATGGTGTGAGCATGGCCTTGTGAAGCTTATTCACCTTGAATAGCACGTGAAATAGGGTTGATTTCATTTTACAGATGTCTTCCAACCAAAATGATAATTTTTTTATAAACTCACTTTAGATGGACTTGCGAACTGATTACGGAAAAAAGCAATGATCAATATTTCAAGAAGTGGCAAATGCTCCGTTCAGATGGTGGGTTCTTCGTAGTCTGATTCTAGCGTATAAAACTACAATGAAATCGTTTCCAATTAGCCTAACATCCAAACACCCTAATTTAGAAAAAAAAAAAAAGGATTCAAATTCCTTGGTTCAATATTTAAACTATGGACAGTCTTCTAAATAGGACGTTCCTCCATATATACGCCACTAGGACAAGGTCGATGTTCTTATTTCCATAAGGGATCATAGATTAAACAGAGGCCAAATTACATGGGAAGTCGTCAATGCACGCAATTGTAGAGAACCAGGCGAAATGAAACGGGGAACGGGACGAAGAGCAAACAAAGCAAAACTGTTACCGAAGAGAGAAAAAATAGAAATGAAGAACATCCACAGTACCAAGGCTCAAGTGAGGAACATATCCGAAACCTGTAAGAACCCACCCAATTTCATCCATTCAATATATGTATAAGAAACCCAGTATGTAAGAAAATAGTAACCAAATCAAACATGAAATGCATAATTTCAACAGTGCAACAGAAAACTGGGGACAAGCTTCATTTATATTAAATCTCAGGAGCTGGTGCAGGCTGCTTCTGCGTGAGAAGTGGCTGGAGAGCCTTGACAACTATACTCATGTTTGGTCGGAACTCTGACTCATACTGCACACACAATGCGGCCACAGCAGCAAGCTGCATCATCAAGAACCACCACCAGGCTTGTTAGCACTTTAGAATTGTGTTTACTTGTATGAGATTACTAAGAGTTTGAGTGCATAATACATCTTAACGTATAATCATATATAATTCGATGCTTTAGCCAGCTTCAATCCACAGTTTACACGTGATCTTTACCTCTGCTCCAGGCCCAGCAAACAAATGGGTTTCCTTCTGGATGAAATTAAGCGTCAAACAAATGGGTTTCCTTCTGGATCTTAACATAGGGATTCTATATTGTTAAAACGACTGAATCTACATTAGTGCTCATATTTGAAGGACATCAATTTGTGAAATCTCTCTGCCCACCAAAGGTTAACAGGTGTCCGAAACATAAAATCTATTGGTCAAATCCACAGTAAAGTGAACAAATAAGTTTATTCTTAAACTCAACAGTGTACCAGTTTTATTTTTGTTTCCCCATGGTCAACCAAATATACAACCATAAGTGTGTAAACCTCAACTGATCAACGAAATACACAGTTCAAGTGCCAGTTTGCAACACTATCCAATGTAAGGTTGGAGGTGAAGAGAGATGAATTTTCATTGTTACCCAAGTGTCGGCCATCCAAGTCAGTTGAGGACCGGACCAACTGCATGACTAACTAGTTGGTCATGATGTGGTTGCCTAGGATGACAGCGTCAACTAGGCCAACTAGTCAAATTAAAAATTAGTCAACCTAGTCAACTACTAAAACAACAAACAACATGTGGTTCCCTATTCTAGGCTCCTAGCTTATCCAGCTTAACATGTTTATGCTTGCACAAACAACAAAGACCATAAATGTTCAATATCATTAGTTTTCTTCATAGTTGTGATCTGTATTATTTATAAGATTGTATCAATATCTTGAACTTTGAAACAGCCTCTCTGAATGTGCAGGGGTATGGCTGTGTATCTGTCCCTCCCTCCCCAGACCCCGCATTGGCAGGAGCCTTGTGCACTGGCTGCCCCTACCAATATCTTAAATTTATAATATATTTTTCTTTCATTGACTAGTCAGTGAAAGCACCAACTAGTCAAGCTATCAAACTAGATAATGCCAAATAATCCAGTAGTACCTAACCTACTGCAGAATAATTGAGTAGTTTTTGATAAGTTGTTTTTAAAGTCAATGGTGTACCCAATCTACAAAATCATTGCCAACTATATGAGAGAGAGAGAGAGATGACCTTAGCAACTCCTTTTGGAGGATATTCACCCTTTAACCTTGGATCCACACATTGTTTAACCTTGTCCTCACTTAGCCTTGGGGTTGCCTGACCCAAAAAAGATAGTGCTGTCATGGATACCTCAACTTTAAATCACTCCACTTGCACATATTTATTCACGCATGATAATAATAATTTTTTGACAAATTAGAGGGCTCACCCAAGTGACAAGAGATTGCTGCCCACGAGGCATTGTATGATCAACAGGTTTTCTACCTGTGAGAAGTTCTAGAAGGACAACACCAAAACTATATACATCACTCTTCTGTGTCAACTGACCAGTCATTGCATATCTGCAATAAGAATTAAGGTTTTGCACGTCATGTCATCAACATAACAGAGATTTTTTTTTCAAAGAAACGTAAGTAAATTATATTAAAAATGCAGATTAGAAGTCTCTGATCATAAATTATTTCTAGAGTACAAATAATCATTCAACAGAATAGAAAGTATCATTAGAACAGCTACCTGCAGGACAGATGCAAGATGAAGTTTCCATAGGCATTAAAAAATATGGCACTTGATGATGCATTAATACTTTTAAAATATGTAAATTGGTAATGTCAACAAAATACCAAATATGACACTTGATAAATGATAATGCATTAACACTTATAGATGACTAGCATTAACACTTAAAATATGTAAAATGGTATGCTTAACTAATATACTCTAAAAAAACAAAACCACAGATGCTAGATATTTAATTAAATTTGGCAAGATATAAGTATTGAGAAAAGACGTTTAGATTTAAAGGTACATATAGTAGCCTAATGTAAGTATATTGCATAGGATGTCCATATCCATATCTATGTCTGGGATTTTAGAAACTTGAGAATCACATCCCTGTATCCATGCTGTATGCCTGTATCTGTCTCCATATCTAGGTATCTAAGGTGATTAGAAAGTCCTCAAGTAATATTACAGAGCATTAGATGTTGAGTGGGTCTTATTGTTGGAGATATGATAACCAAATTCTTTATAGGCCTAAAGCATCACTACTGAGGGTAAGAGTGGTAAAATCTCAACTTAGTGAGGCATGTGGATGTATGCATGAAACACATTGATCAATGATGTAATCAAACTACAGACTATAGCTGCTTTTTCATTTCATGAGTCATGATCTGTAGTCCTTAAGACCTAAGAAACTTACAAAAACTTATGGTTATCTTCAATTACTTTGATGTACCAAGGGTTAGGTGATAATTAAGGGTGCAAGACAGGTTGGGTTAGGTCAGTTTGAGGTCAACCCTAATCCAACTAGAGTTGTGGAACCCCCAATCCTAATCAAACTTCAAGTTGGGTACGGGTTGGCTTGACCTCTCTACTTCCTTTGGCCAAATGTTCTTGTTTTCTAGACTCAAGGGTTAACATGGTCAGTAAAATGCTGGCCACTAAATATGGGATACTGAGGTTGATGGCACCGGGTAAATATCCAGTGGCTGCGCCAAATTGATAGTCTTACCCAATATTCAGAAAACTGGACCAGGCATAGAACTGGAGAAGGGAGAGGTTCACGGAACCAGAGGTCAAACCATGATGACATGGCATATATATATGTATATATATATATATATACTACGGGTCATATAAATACTATATATAATATATTTTATAACTTCAAATATATTTAAATATGGTAGATAGATGGCAAGTTCCTTAATTTTTAAAGCAAACGACTAGGGTTCAAGTCTCTTAATTTACATTTTCTTTAAAATGTGTGTATAATAAAGTAATATGTACAATAAAGAGTCATTAATTAATGCAAGTAAAGAGGTGGACTAATGGTAATTAAGCAATTTATAGAAATTAGAAGTCATATGTTCAAATCTTACTAAACACATTTTAGAATTTCAATTGTTTAGGACCCGGGTGGTTTCACAAAACCGGGACTGGTTCACCGGTTTTCTGGTTAAACTGGCCAGTCAGCCGGTTTTTTATCAAGTACAGTTATTGGGGTATGACCGAACCGACCAAGGTACAGGGTCACAATTCAACCAGTCCAACCAGCCAGTCTGGTCCGGTTTTCTAAACACTGGTCTTACCTAACCCAAAAGCAAATATAAATGAAAAACCACACAACCATGACCTCTAATGAATTAGGCAATGAAAATAGCCTACTTATTCACCTAATTACAGTCAAACACAATGAATTTATACAAGTCTAAGCAGCATTACTCTGGTGCATGATAACCAAAGGTCCCCAAAACTCGAGTAGAATGGAGACGAGCAGCCATGTCAGGAGCCTGATTTGAAAGGTTAAAGTCAGCGATTTTGGCCTTGAAGTCTTCAAATAGAAGCACGTTGCTTGATCTGATATCCCGATGTATAATAGAAGGTTGAACTTTCTCATGTAAATACTCTAGTCCCCTTGCTGCATCAACAGCAATTCTCACTCGCTGCATCCAATCAAGCACTGGACCTGGTTGTGCACCTTGGACTCCTTTTCTACCTGCAATTGCAAATAAATAAATAAATAAATAAATAATAAAATATAAATAACCAGAAGTGTCAAAAAAAAAAGAAGATTGAGGATCTTTAAATTTTTAATTCAATCAAGTAGAGATAAACTAGTCCTCAGAATATACCATGCAAAATGTCATGTAAAGAGCCCATGGTTGCAAACTCATATGCTAAAACACGTTCATTCCCTTCCACACAATAACCAAGCAACTCAACAAGATTTTCATGCTTCAGTCTTGACACCATAGAAACCTATATTTGGGATGATAAATAGTCAGATATGACAGGAGAAAGACAAAAGATGGAAACAAATAAATATAAAACAGAACCTGTGCATCAGAGAGAGAGATTATATGTATTGTTTAGTATAAATCCACACACCTGAGTCAGAAACTCATCATTGGGTTCAGGCTCAGAAGAAATATCAAGTTTCTTTATAGCCACGGCTTGTCCACTGTTTAAGGTTGCATAATAAACTCTTCCATACGAACCTTCACCAATCAAAGATTTTGATCCAAAACTTTCAGTCTTTTCTTTTAGTTCATCCAAAGACAAAGCAGGCACTTCAATGGGTGGTGGTGTTTTCTGCACTTCAGTCTTGGCTGGAGCAGATGCCTTTGAGCTTTTATGGTTCACTGAAATGCAACAAAAGTATTTAATTCATATAATAAATAGAATACAAATATAAAACATGATCTTATGGATCCTAATGCAAACATACTGTTATGAATTAAATATCCCATTTATGCTACCAGGAAAATTTTGTGAAGTGCAGGTAAAAAAACTCTCAATTTAGAGATGAAAAAAGTCCATTTAACTTTGAATGTAAATTAAGAAAGAATTTTTATCTGTTCAAGGTCTGCTCAATTGCTAAATCATTGACATAAAAAAATTAAGTAATTCTTGGCATAAAAATTATATATTCCTGCTGGAGTTGCTCAAAATTTTCAAATAAAATCCCAAGAAAAAAACAAGAGAGCTTAAAATAAGCATTAGCAAATCATTCCAAGTTCAAACTCAGAACAAGAGAAAGGTGGTAATTGATTTAGTACAGATGAAAGTCATATGTTACCCTGAGAAAATTGTACAAAACCAGTAACAAAGAAAAGGAACTTAGTTGATGGTGAAACACAACGAACATGAATAAAATTCTAATAACCTCTATTTACATGACATAGAAATTGGTACTAAACCAAGAATTGGTTATCTATAAAACAAGAATGGCTGACCAACTCGCCCTGGACAAGGTTGAAAAACAACACTTAAAGCTTAAAATAGATTAGATATATGGCAAACATCCAAAAAAGGAAGAAATAAGAACTAAAGCACCCTCATATAAAGATGTGCTGTATATTGACCTCGCAATGCATAGTATGACAAGATACTTGAGGAAGTAACAAAAAATAAAAAATAAAAAATAAATCTCAAGAATCTATATGTATCACAGATGGTTGCCCCAAGAAAACATTGCGGTTAAAGCCCCTTTTTAAATGCAAATAAACAAAGTAAATAGCAAAGGAGAAAGAATAAACAATATCCAATGAGGCAAATAATCAAATACAACATTAGCAATGGCACACTAGAACTTTTAACATGGAAAACTTCTCCAATGTGAAGAGGAAAAACCCCAGAGCACTAACCCAAAAAACTTGCACTATCAACAAGAATAATAGATTACAACTTCTCTAGTTTCAACTAGAGTATAGCAACCTCAAGAGACATAAAACCTCTCTTGGATACACAAAAACAGTCATCAAACAAAATGCATTTCAATCAACAAAAACATTATAAAGACCTCACCAAACAATAAGAGTGTCAATTGGACTGGATTTGGTCCAATCCAATCCAGTCCAATGTGAGTCCATTATAAATGGACCAGGTCCAGTCCAATCCAATGAATGTTTTTGACAATTTGGACCGGTCCAATTCAATGTTTGGACTGTCCAATCTGTTCAAATTCATTTCGATTTAGATTGGTTTCAACCCAAACCCGATCCATTGACTCATATATTCTTATCTTATATCAATGGACCAGATATTGGCTTAATCCAACCCAATCCAATATAAATTTGTTATGGACGGACCAGGTCCATCCAATCTAATAAATATTTTGGACCAGATTGGTCCAATCTAATATGTCTTGTTGGTCCGTCCAATCCGTCCAAATTGATTTTGGACCAGACGGGGTCCAATCCAAAACCGGTCCATTGACACCCTTACCAAACAAGGCTGCCAAAGCCCTCTCCAAAGAGGATACCAACATGTGTCAAAAATGCCACGATTCTCCACTAAAAGAAATAGTGGAGAGCAGGTCCCACAATCCACTAACATGGTACTAAGACAAGACAATTTGTCTCTTTCTCACCAATGAGAGAATACAAAGAGTCTCAAACTTTATTTTGTCTTTCTATTTAACTTTCTTAAGTCACTCATGTATTGGGCAAGAGACCCCAACACACGAGTGGGTCCCATCACATGAGAGAAAACCCAACAGAAAAAACTCAAAAAGCTTCCTTTAATATGGGAACATGAACTCAGTGGAGTCAGTTATAGCGATCCCGTCACTGTAAATACAACATAGGAGGATCTTTTATCCATGCTAAATCCAAAATGATCAAGAGTTCTATTGAATTCAATTATTCATTTCCATTTTTCTGCTATGGAAGGTTCTCAGTGAAGTCTTTTATATGGTATTGATTACAGATAACATGGCTTTAGATCAAGTAGAAGGTATGTGGGGGAATCCAGTGCCTCCAAGAGTGGAAGCATTCACATGATTGGTTGCTCTTGATAGCATTTTAACTACTGATCATCTGAAGAGAAAAGGTTTTAGCTTGGCAAGTTACTGTTATTTGTATAACTCGCATAAGGAATCTGTTTGCTATCTTGCAAGGTGGAAAACTTCATATCGAAGTTCTATTCATTCACATTTTGAGAGTCTTTCAGCCATCATAATCAGCAGAAATTTTCTGTGCCAAGACTTAGAGGAAACAAGAAAGCTAGAATTATCTGGAGACTGGAGCTCAATCTTTTAGGGTATGTTGGACATTATGGAATGAGAGGAATAGAAGACTGTTATAGAACAAATCGAAGAACATTGAAAGTGATTGTAGCTTCAGTAGGTAAGCTTGTACAATACTGAGTTTTGGTTCTTCCAGAATTTGAGCTAGTTAACAGATCTGATTTGTTGGAAAGATTTTGGAATGTCCTTGAACTGCAACCTTGTAATGTTGATCTTTTTCATTGTGATTAGTTATTTTGGTGTGTCATCTTGACAACCATTCATTGTGATTAGTTACTCTTTCTTCTTAAAAAAAATAATCTTTCTTACACTTATGCAGGGGATGAAACTCAAGAGAAATTATGGAGAAAATGAGGAGATGAGCCTACAGTTTTTAGGGCCCACAGATCCAATAGTCCTAAAGTGAAGTCCATTAGGATGTGCCCAAGATTCTAAGTATTGATACAATGTTCCCCATATTGGGCATATTGTAACATTCCGGCAGGTCACCGAAATGCCTATTCTAAGGACTTTTTAGAATTTTGGTTATTTTAAATGCTAAATAATAGTATTATAGCCCCCTTGTAAAAAATTTTGATATAAGACTTACCCAAAAAAAACCCAATACACATGATCATGCATATTAGGTGTATTGATACTTTGAACCTTGGAATGTGTCAAGTGATTGTAGAGAAAGTTTAAATCCTCTAGAAATTTACATCTTTTAGTAAAAGCAAACTCATTATAACTTCTGGACCTATTATTTATTTTAGTTCCTATAATTGCTATTAATAGTGAAATTGTGGTTTATTGTTGTTAGTAATTGTTGGTTTCTTCAATTATGTTAGTAGGTGGTTCTTACTTGTTCTAAAGACAGAGTTTGAGTGAAAATAGAAATTATTGGGTGTAAGTACCTTTTCTTGATTATTAGTCTGTGGGTTTATTAAAGGGAAATTCTAGGCCTGGTAAGGAATCACCTAAGAGATAGATTGAGCTTTGAAATAAAACTGAAGTGTTTTGATGCGTGGTACTTAGAGGGACTACTTCTCCCACCGGGTCTGTTTTCCTATGCCTCTTTTTTCAATTCTTCAGTGTCTTCTAATAGTTTGGGAATGAGGTTCCTGGTGAAAGATAAGAGATAGTAGACACACATACAAGGGCTTAAGAGCGATGCGCTAGCCAAAAGTACATAGCAAAGCCAATATTAAGGAACGAATTTGATACCTCACAAGAATATCAGTAATATAAACTGGTGATCTAGCAAAATCAGGCAGGATCTATAACAGAGGATCCCAGCGTCCTGCAGAATAAAGTCTCACTCGTGTAATCACATAAAAGAGTGAGGCCGCTTTGCAAAGCTAAGCGGCTTGACAAATGAACTTCATGAGACTATGAAGTGATCTCACAAGGCAGAGAATCTTGTAGGTGTGGACACAAACTCTCTAGGTCAAGTGATACCTGGTTCGCAAGGCCTGATCTCGTGGATCAAGAGTTTCACGATCTCATTGGAGAACAAGATCCTTAAATCACTAATGACCCTTGAATCAATGAGGTATATTTTCTAAACTTCTTTTTGCTTTTAACCAATGTTTTAAAATGTGGAGGCATGACTCGAGGCGTTCCACTACCTAGAGGCCTGAAGCATAGTTCAGAACATAAGAGGTGCCTCCTTAAGAGGATGATGAGAAGGAAGGAGGAAGAGGAAGAGGAAGAAGGAGGAAGATCTCATTTTTCTTTATTTTTAATAAAAATCTTTTATACTAAGAAAAATGAAAATGAATAGCACTAGCTGAAGGGGGGTCTTGTCAAAGCAGAGGCAAGCAAGCAAGCTGAAGTGGAGCAAGACCCCAAGCTGGAGGGAGCAAGACCCCCCCCCCCCCCACCTAACACAAAAAGTTAAAAAAAAAGGCTGCATTGAAAAGGGGTCTGGCCATCTGGGGGACTTCCTTTACCCTCATCTTTTCTTCCCTTCCCTTTCCTTTCCTTTTCTTTCTTTTTCTCTTTTTTTCTCTTCTCTTTCTTTCATTTTCTTCCCCTCCCTTTTTCTTCCTTTCCTTACCTTTCCTTTTTTTCTTTCTTTTTTCTTTGTAATGTCTTTTTATATGAGGTGTGCATGAGGCGTACGCGTCAGAGGTGTCAGCAACTCTAGCATACGCCTCAGGGCATTTTGGGGGTGCCTCACCTGGAGGCATGCCTCGTCCCACACCTTTTAAAACACTGCTTTTAATAACATTGGTCAGTGCCAACTCAATTTTCAGGAAATGTAAACTATTCCATCTCACAAAAATAAATAGATTTGATATAAAAAAAAAAACATAAAATATGGCAAGCAATATCAGCTAAGTAACCATCCAAGCATCGTTACTGCAAATAAAAGCTTAATAGTAACTTTATCATGTACGAACTACAGGTCCAAGTGTAGAAACAAAGAGCTTTTACCAAGGCTATACAACATTTTAAGTTTGAAAGAGAAAAAGTAATAATTCAATCAGAAGCAACAGGTTGTTTTCCCATCCACACAAATAAATAAACTATTAAGATGCATCAATGCCACCAACCATGTATGGTTCACTATACAACACTTGCAAGCTTTCCTCTGAAGCAATAAATAGATAAAAAGCAATAATGTTTTACGATTGATCAAAAAAAGCAATAATTATTATTCATGGACCAGTAACCTACCATTTGTATGATTCCTTGGGCTTTTAAGTAGCTCATCTTCATTTGATTCATAAGTCTCTTCTACATTACAAGTACAACAAAGCCAACGACGCACCCTTCCTTTCATTGTGAGATCAATGTTTTGCTTGCTAAGCTGACTCTTGAGGCATTCAAAGAAACTAAGAGAAGGAGCATGTGCCTGCATTCTCAAAGCCAAGTCCATGATGTAACTCATAACAGTACGTCAGACATTAATTGTGCAGAAGATATTTTTTCTTTTTTGAACTTCAGTTGATAATTAACAACTTATTAAGTAGAGATTTGATCATTGATACTAATATGCTTTGAATAACTGACAGAACACTGGAATTGGTGAACTCAGACTATGGAGATTATTCCAACCCAGGTCTTCTGTTAAAAGGACTAAGTTATGCACCTCCGGAAAACCTAAACCTATCCAACCCAGGACAGCATCTGAATCCCACTTCTTGTGACAATTGTCTTTTTTTATGAATAATTTAATAGAATTAACATTTAAAACTAATTAGTTTTTATGCCGTTGCCGAAAAAATGGAGAATGAGGTGATTCGAATTCATATCATTTAATGCATTTAGATTCTTGTGACAATTGTGCTTCTAGTTCATTGTTCTTTCCCTTCGCTTCCCACTCGAATCCATGTTTTGTTTGTGTTTCAGGTTTGAGTGTGCAGCTATCCCACTTGGCAGAAAATCCTTTGATAAAAAAAAATGGTAGCAAGTCCCAATCCGCAAGTTAACAACCAGAATACTGGAATCTTTCAGAGAGGAGGAGGTGTTGAACAACAAGTTAAAGAAAGCAGAAACTTCAAACCAGAAGGGGGAGGGATTTACAAGATGGTCAGGAGTTTTAGGGTTATTATTTCAGATGAAACAGGGAATCCATTAGGATTGAAGGAGACTAATAAAGAAAATGGGAAACCTAAAGGCTATTTCAACATTAGCTAGGGACTCAGACAAGGATGCCCCCTCTCTCCCTTCCTTTTTACCTTTGTTGTTGAAATTCTAAATTCCTTTATCAAGAAAGCAAGAAGGTTGAATCTTCTGAAAGGTTTTCAAGTGGGAAGGGATGCTTTTCAGATTTCTCATTTATTATTTGCGGATAATATTATGCTTTTCCTGGAGACAAATTTGGAGAATATCAACAATCTGAAAAGGAAAAGTAGCATTGTTTAGAAGTTTCTCTAAAAAGTATCATTGTGGGAGTTAATATAAACAAAAATCTCGTGAATATATCCAAGGAAGTGTTAGGGTGCAATGCAGAGAGGTTTCCCATTTCATATTTGGCGGGAACCCAAGAAGTTGAAGTTTTTGGGACCCAGTGTTGGTAAAATGTAAAAAAAAAAAAAAGGTTGGCCATGTGAAGAAAAAGTTCTCTTAAAGGGGGAAGACTGACCTTTTAAGATCAGCAACACAGAAAAGATTTCATTAAAACTAGATAAAAAAAGGTACAACAAGAAGTTCTGAAAAGATATAACAGACTCAAGGGGACAAATTTAACCCAGAAAACTACAAATAAGCCCAATATATAGACTTTCTCTGAACCCCTTGCTTAGCTAGCCCATCTGCCAATGGTTTGCAGTTCTTCTAAACCAATCGACTTGAATCATCATTTCTTTAGATAGCCATTTGAAGGGGGAAGACTGACCTTAATCAAGACTTCTGTTGCTAACCTGCCAACTTACATTCCCTCGGTGTTTCAAATCCCAACCTAGAGTCATAAATAGAAGTGAAAAACTCCAACATGATTTTCCAGGTGGAGAAAAGAAATGCCATTTAGTAATTTGGGGGAAAGTTTGTAAGCCGAAGGAAGCAAGGGTCTTGGTTTAAGACACTTCAAGGAGAGAAATGTTGCACTTCTTGAGAATTGGCTGTGGGGATTTCCTCTTGAATCTGATGCTCTTTGGAAGATGGTTATAAGCAGAAAATATGGGACGAATGCAAATAGTTGGGATAGCAAGGCAAGGTACACTTGAATTGAGTGAAAGTAATCAACCCTTGGAAAGGTATTTCCTCTACTTATAACTCCTTTCTTTATTTCATCAGATATAAGGTAGGGAATGGTTCTAAAATTAAGTTTTGGACTAACATATGGTGGGGTGAAAACACCTTGGCTAACTCCTATCCTCAGTTTTTCAACCTTCCCCAAAATCAAGAAGCCTCTATTGTCTCTAGCATCCCCTCTTCACCTCTTGAATCTAATTGGATTTCAGAAGACCTTTGAGAGATGCAGAGCTTGGTGAAATTGCAGACATCCTCCACTCACTAAGAGAAGTGTATCCCTCCCCAGATAACCTTGGATCAACGTGTTTGGAAACTTCACCTAGCAGGAAAGTTCTCAACTAAATCCCTTTTTCGGGGCCCTGGTGTTGGAAAGTTGTTCTCACAACATTTTCCTGTTTAAGAAGATATGGTTTACCCATATCCCTCTTAGAGTCTCCTCCCTTGTCTGGGAGGCTTGCTTGAAGAAAATAAACAACTATGATCTTTTACAAAAAAAAAAGGAAGAAAGGCAAACTGTGCATTTTTTGTATTAGAAATGGTGAGTCTGCTAAACACTTACTTTTACATTGTTTTGAACAAGAAATATTTGGCACTTCCTCAATAATGCTGGTTACAGTTGGATTATTCCTGAGCATATCTAGGAGTTCACTTGGCAATGGCAAGTCTTGGTAATGTGGGGCATGTGGCTTGAAAGAAATAATTGTGTTCAGAAGATAGTGCCTTTAGGTAATTAATTCCTTGGAGTTCAAAGGTATCTCGATGGGGGATCTTGAAAGGAATTTAGTAGAGATCCTGCACATCTCCCAGGCTGTTAAGTATTATTAGAAGTCCTCCTACATCAGAAGAGTTAGAGATGAAACTACATTATGATGGTAGTACCTTTGGATAACCCAGTACAGCAGGGATTGCTGGTGTGTTCAAGAGGAGGGATGGCAGTATTTGGTGGGCTTTTAGTGGTCCGACAGGAACTGCTGATTCAACAAAGGCTAAAATCTTAGTTGTACTCACAGGTCTCCAAATTGCAAAAGACGAAGGGGTTCTACACTAACCATTGAGAGTGATTCTGCAAACACAACAAAATGGTTAGGGGGAGAAGGATGGAAGCCCTTGGAGGTTAGCTCATCATCTGACAGAAGCCAGAGATATCTTGAGATCCTTGTGTGCTAACCTAATTGGATTCTCAGGGAATTAAACTCTTTAGCTGATCATTTGCAAAAATCTGGTAAGGTGCTCACAGGGAAGATATGTATAGTGACAGAATTCTGCCTATGTATCCCTGAGCTCTTTTGTTCTGGTTGTACACCTTCACATGTACTACTCTTGTTATTAATAAATTCAGTTACCCTTTTCTCAAAAAAAATAATAATTAGCATGCCACAAGTTATTATATAATTACCATTACAAAAAAAAAAACAGAATTTGCTCTACAAATTTATACAAAACCATCAGCTTTAAACGAGAACAAAAATGATTATGAAATACTCATCAAAAAGTAGTTAGCATACATACTGGCCATTTAAAACCCAGAAATTTTCGGAAATATTGTAATCACTCAAATCTCACCAATAGATTGTAGCGTTAAACGTCGTCTTCCATCACAAAAATAAAAGAAACCAGAAGATTACACAAAATGAACAAAAGATGGATATAAATCAACATCAAAAGCGACCAATCGTATTCGAATCGCCAATTGGAACTGATCGCGTAAACAGTTCCACAGCTGAAAGAATCAAATTAATTCAATAATTCGAAAATGTAGCTCCAAAGGAGGATGAAACAATATCTGAATTTGAATGAATTTCTGATGAAATGGGTGATCAAGGAGTTACAGGACACGAAATGATTCTCTATAAAAACAACTCTTCAAGAAAGAACAGATCCGCCAAAGTTTTCCTTAAAAATCCCACAAAATCCGAGACGATCAAGAAGAAAAATTTTGAATAAAATAATTACCGAAAAAACTTAGAAATTGAGCGAATACCGATCCAATCCTAGATACAAATTAGCATTAAACTGAGAATAACATAGAAATCAAATGATAAAGCGAGGGAATTAAGAGAGAGAGAGAGAGAGAAGTATCGGAAAAGCTTACCTGGTTTTGTCGCGTAGGTTTCTGATGTGACGATTCTTGGGATGGAAGAAAATAAAGGAAAACAGGTAAAAGGAGGGTTCTGGGGAGAGATGACAGAAAGGCAACGTGAGGAAGGTCGGTCGAGAGGACTGTCGACTCTCCCCATCAATAATCAATAATAACGTAGAAGGCTAAAAGCAAACGCGGTGAACGCCTGAACGGGTATGGATCATTCCTAACCGGGCACGGAAGATGCGACCCGATCCAGCCCGCATCATGCTTGAAGCTAGCCAAGTGTCCATGAAAAACCGAAACGAACCGCAAAATACGGTTAATCGAACCAATCGGTTCGGTTTCGGTTTGAAATTTTTGAAAAACCAAAGAATTGGTTCGGTTTTCAGTTAACCTACAAAAAACCAGCGGATAACCGAACCGACCGGTATATATTTATATATATTTTTAATATATGTATATATATTCATTATATATATATATAAATATATACTTATATTATATTTATAATAATCTATTTATTAATATATTATATATTTTTAAAATATTTATAATATATTATATATCATTTATTATTTATAATATAGTATTATGCATATATTTATATAATATATATTATAAATATAAAAAACCAAAAAACTAAAGAACTGAACTGGTCAAAAACCAAAATCGGTAGACCGGTTAATCATTGGTATCAGTTCGATTTCGGTTTAAAAAAATGGAAAAATCGATACCACTGGTTCGGTTTGTAAAAATTGCCCATGGTTTGGTATGGACACCCCTACTACCCAAGAGTGATCATGAAAAAAAAACTGAAAAATCGAACCAAATTGATGAGGGCCGAACCAAAAATTCCGATTAATCAAAATAGTCGATTCAATTTCAGTTCAGTAATTTCAAATAATATAATTATATAATATAAAAAATTGGTAATTAACTGAATTGACCGATATACATACATATATACACATATATAATATAATATTATATATATTAGTTTTTTATTATATTTATTTATAATATATTATTAAAATCAAAAAATCAAAAACCGATGAACTGAAGTAATAGATAACCAAACTGATGAACCGGTTAGATAATTGACTTCAGTTCGATTTCAGTTATTAATTTTTCAAAAACCAGTAGTATCGGTTCGATTTAAAAAATAGGCCCAAACAAACCGTGGGCACCCTACTAGCCACACGGCCACAACTTGAGGGTATTTAGTACTATTGCCGTTTTAACTCAAAATGTTGCCAGCTTACGCCAGCTGTGCATTTCGAGTTTAACGGCTAGATATTTGTTTGATTCAGCCCAATGCTGTAAGACTGAGATTACTCAGATTAGACTGGATGGTCAAACCATAAAAATCGGGAACTTACTTCCTATTCTGGTTTTAAACAACTGTTGTTGGACTATGAAATTATGAAAACCAGGAACCAATTGGCATTACGGTTTTTAAGTACGTGTTTGGTTTGGGAAACGTTTGTTAGAAAACGTTTTTCAAAACACAGATGCGTCATGCAATGGTGTGGCATAGGGGTGTCAAATGGACCGGTTTTGGATTGGGTCTATCTAAATCAAAATCAATTTGGACAGATTGGATAAACCAATAAGACATATTGAACTGGACCAATTCACACTTAATGGTCCAAAGCATTTATTAGATTGGATTGACCTATTCCATCCCTAATGGATTTGTATTAGATTGGGTCAGATTGAACCAATATCCAAACTAGGGGTGGAGCCAAGTATATTGGTGAAGTGGAGAGGTCTTTGCCCCCCATTTTTATATAGGTTAAGGCAGGGTCAAAAACATAATTGATGAAGGATAATTTGGTCCTCCAAATGACATCATGACACGTGACTTTTAAGCGACACCTCGATACTAAGTAAGCAGATCACCTCAGCAAGTTGGCTGATAGCTCATCGCAGGGCCAACCTAAAGTACCTTAGCTTGGCCGACGTGAAGGACCTCCAAATAAGGGGCGACTTACCTTAGAGACCGGCCGAGCTAAGACAGCTACTATCAGTGACCTACAAGGCATGCACGCTGACTTGTCATATAGATCCGTTGCTAGACCGAATTCTCCGGAGTATTGATGAATCAACTGTTAGGCCAGCCTATCCGCACCATGCGCGTCAAAATCAATCGAACGGATCTCATCCCTCTGCACAGATTACGCAACCAACATCATTACTCTCCTGACTTAACAAAAACGGCTCTACGAGAGCCTAGGAACCGTTACAAGAGGTCTTTGGTCACTCACATCTATATAAAGGTCTCATTTCCACCTGAAGAGGTATGCGCGATTAAGCTCTTGTACTCTCTAATCTCTTAAGAATTTCTAAAGATTCATTGCTGACTTAAGCATTGGAGTGCCCATCCCAGTAAAAGCAACCCGACCACTCTAACTCTTCCTCTTGCAGAATCACATAGCTCGGCCCAACTCAGCTCGACCACCGATAGGGTAAACATCCGATTCAGCATCCGAATCATCTGCCACGTGAAAGACACCAGATTGCGCTACATCAGTAATTAAGTGTGCCATTGGCCCTCCTAAGACTTGAAAGTCCCACTAAAATGTTAGGCTCATTTTGGAAGGAGGACAAATACAAATATTCGGAGAGTGCAAAATTATGTATTTTGGATTGGATTGGATTGGACCTGGTTCATTTGTACTCATATTGAACTGAACTGAACTGGATTGGATCAAATCCAGTCTAATTGACACACCTACTTTGGCGCGATAGTTTTCTTAAGTTTTTTGTTTGGATAGCATTGTTGCCACCTAAGCAAAATAGAAAAAGTATTCTTTGGTTTTCTGTTTGGTTATCCCGTTTTTCATTGAAACAATCCAAAAACATACTGTGTCTGGTGTAAAATTTACACAGGATATAAATATATTTTCTATCAATAAGTGTTGATCTAGCGGCCATAGTTTCACATATTAGCATCCAACAATAGCACAAAACGGAATGTAACGGTTAAATTGAAAATCTAATGGTTAAAACATCTTGAAGTCTACATCCAACAGTCCACCTTGTCTGATATGAATATCTAACTGTTAAGTTGATATAAAATACCAATCTAACGATAGAAAATTGAAGTGGATCTATTTTTTTGGATCCAATGGTCTAATTTCCTTTAAATGTATACTAGTTAGGACCCCTGTGATGCATGGGTCTTATTTATAAGTAAAATTGAGGAAGGGGCTTTATTACATTTCCAATTAAGTGGTACCCATCTAAATTCATTCTAGTATATTAATTTTTTTGTTACATCTAATTTATCCAATCACAATCTAATTGTGCTTTAGGAGAGTGGCCAATTTCCTATTTTCAAGATAAATTTGTATCTTTTTTGTATCTTAAGGCTATTCTTTTAAAAAATATTTTTTATTAATTGTTACTAGTTTATTATTATTTGTGTATTATTTTTAGGTAAAATAATTAAAAAAAAATGCCCTTGTAACATTTCTATTAACCACCTTTGTGTTTTGACCCTATCAAAGGCCTCTCTTATATAGTTTTTTAAAAAAAAAAATACAAATACCTCTTTTGCCTTGACTTTTTCAGTAACAAAAACATTAAAATTATCAAAATACCCTTGTCATTGGCAATTCATTATTATATACAATTTAAAGTAATTGTTCTCTAAGAATTACAACCAAACTTTGCTAACTTATGAGCTACCATGTTCCCACATGGAATAGTGGCTAAATGGAGTAGTCACTACTCACCAGTGGACATCAAAGGCTATGTCCAACAAGAAAGAGATTACCTTTTGTGCATCTCCTCCTAAGAAAATGTGGGTGAGGTTAAGCTCCTTAGCCAAATGGAGACCAGCTGGGAAGGCTTGAGCTTCAACATATTCTGGAGAGCTTAGTTCTGTTCTTTGAGATCTGCATAAACAAATCTCCCTGAGTGGTCCCTCATGACCAAACCTAGACTAGACCATTTTGAGTTTGAGGCTCCATCCACATTGATTTTGATGAAAGGGCAAAGAAGAGGCATCCAAGCTGAATTCCAAGTCTGTCTACCTAAAATCTGGACAGTGGTACTACTTATCTTCAATAAGATTAGATCATTTATGTTTTAAAACTGACTTAAAATAAAGTGGTAGCTAAGCAATTCAACCATCCAAATTAAATCAATCAATCTAAACTAATAAAATTTTGGGTTTCTTGCGGATAACGGGCAACTTTTTACCTTTCATAGAATAACTTTTTTAGAAAAATATCAAAAGAGGGTAATAGACTGTGGCTCGTCTTCCTCTTTGCCTCTGTATTTCTCCGGCCAAGTAATAACAGAAAATCATGGAACTTCCCAGAAAGCAAACCGGCGCAGGAGGGGAAGAAAGCGAAAAGAAAAAACAACAAAATTAAAATTTGTTACAAAATAAAAACTTAAATCGCCAGAAATTGCCATTACCTCCTCGGACGGTAGCGTACTCCCTCAGCGCTCTAACGTCGGCACCGCACCTCAGGAATTGCAGAAAGAAGAGCCTGAAGCTGGTGCCCGAAACAGTCCGATGTAACCGCCACCAGTTGGCCAAAGCGTTTGTTGCTGGGATCTCCAATGCTAAGAAGAACCTATGGAAGATGAAGAACCACGTGATCACACATGTGGGCTCTAAACGCCCCAAAAAGATGATGAGTTCGTGTATCAGCCCCGACACCACGAACGTCGCCAGTATGGCTGGTAGTGCGGCGAGGCTTCACGTAGGGTCGTATACAGTGGAGCGCAGGATATTGGATGCAATGATGTTCCGCCTTCCGTCTTCGTCCCCAGAAGTCCTGTAGCGAGGTGGAGAGGTAGGGATCGTCGAACTGTGCTTCCACAGTTCGAAGGTGGGGGCAGTAAAGTGTCAGGATGACCTTGGGATGCTGCAGATACGAAGGTGGGGAGATTTTGTTCGGTGGTGTAAGGAGGAAGGAGATGAACAGTTTTTTTTACTTTTTTGATATATTTTAAAAAAAAGTTACTTTATTTTAGAAATTATTTTAAAAAGGTTATTTTTATTGATAATAAACCTTAAAAGTTGCTCTTATTGGATATAATCCCTAAAATTTTTAAAATAGAAATAAATATAGAAAATTACAAAAAAAAATATAGAAAAAATTACACATTTATGATATTTTTATTAATCAAATTAAAAAAGGTGCAATAAACAATAATT